TCCACATACGATATTGCATTTCGTTTTTACATGCAATTACAGGAAAAATAAACAAAAAATTGCGATCGTATTTCAAAAGGAAGGAAAGGAATACACATATCATCGTATAAAATTTCAAACAAGTAGATTGTGTTTGCTGTGAAATATTTAAACGTTAGTAGGACGAGATTATTTTGTATAAAATAAAAAAAACAAAAAATACATATATGCTTCGTCCTTATCAGATATAAATGAAGTTTCAATCTAAAGTTTGAATCAAAAAAAAAAAAAAAAAAAAAAGGAAGTAAATTGAATTCTTTATTGTTAGTGAATAACAATAGTTAGTTCTAATTGTCCCTATTTTTCTTTCCAATGTAAGAAATTCCTTCTTGTTTTTATGTAACAATTTCCTGGATGGCAATTTAAGACAATTTATATTCTCCTTATCTTTCTTAATCATCTAATATCACAAATAGACATACGAATGTCTAGTATTTTTCCTATTCTAAGAAGATTTTCTACATTATATTCTACATTATATTATTTTAAAGACATTCACATTCAAACTTTGTTTCTTACTTTGTACCATTACTCATAATAAAAGATATACTGCTAAAAATGGAATGCAAATTCCAAAGATCTCCACATCAACGCATTAATTAAAAAAAAAGGAAACTTTTCCTATTCTAAGAAGATTCTCTATACTATATTTTTTCAAAAAAAGACATTCAAAATTCGTTTCTTACTTTGTACCATCATGCTCATTACTCATAACAAAAGACATACTGCTCAAAATGAAATGCAGAGATGTCCACATCAACGCATTAATTAAAGAAAAAGGGAATTTTCTCATATACGTTATCTTGGATTGTTCTGCTTGGAGGAAATTTCACGTTATTCCAAATATCCAATCAACAATTGAAAGCTTCTCGTCGGAACGATTAATTAAAGCGATTAACGGATAAAGAAAGCAGAAGAACGACGACGTACTTCCAATATATGAAGATCGGTCCCGCAGATGCCCGAATAAGCAACTTTGATTCGAACATCGTTCGGCCCTGGATTCGGCACATCCGCCTTCCGCAACTCAAGAGTGTAATTCTTCACGTCGAAGCTGAGGAATTCCATCTTCCCGGTAGTTATGCACGGATGATAACTAACTCGGCATCTCTGTCCAACATTTATATATCTGTTTCGTCGCGTGTTTATGTTTATATATTGGTGCCGTGTGCCGACGCTTAATCGCCAAATACGCTGTGGCGCGCAACGGCTACGGTCGCGTGGAAGGCGCACTGCAACACAAGAACGACATAAGATAAGAAAGAGAAATGTTTGAAAGATTTTGGAACGGATGATTAACTCGATTGTGCACGTTTCCACACGAAAAGGAATGTTTTTGATAAATTGTGAAAATTGAAAATAATAAGATTGATGATAGATAGGTTCGATTTGAAATTGTTTTTCCAAGGAGGCGAATTTATTAAGAGATTTTTTTTGGGATAATTCGTTCCACGGGTCGAAGAACTGACTTTCGAGAAGACGATTAAGCATGATAAAGTGTAGATAATTACAGTTCGTTAATAAAATAATTGGACAGTGTTTCGCTATGTGAGAATATAATTGTTTTATATTAAGGAAACTTGGTTTGGAAACTTGGAAGAGCGTAATAAAGAGATATTTATTAAGGTTGCGCGATCGCGTTTGAAACTGTGGATGGAAAAATTGCCTTTCCTTTCCTCGATTAGAGATCTGTTTAATCCCGATTTACGTTTCTTATTTATTTATACCGATTGCGCTTACGTTTCTTATGGAAATAATTTTCCATTTTGCAGAGGAAAGAAGCAATATTTTACATAGTAACTTTGCACTTAGGGTAATAAATTTTAGACGAATACGTGGATTTCTTTATGAAGAATAAAAGTGAGATAAATTGCAGAAAAGAGAAAGAAAGAAGGATATGGATAATGGAAGAAATAATAAATTTCGAGAAAAAATAGCGAATTCTATTTAAACGATGATTCTTCATAAGGATCCTCAGAATATATTTTATACATCCCTTTCTAGAATTTTTCTTAACAAACAAGAATTATTAAATTCTGAATAACTCGTAATTTAAAAATTTTCCTCTTACCTTATATTATAAACTTTCATTCTTTTCATAAAAAGAAAAAAAAATTGATCGTTAATATTTCATCGTTCTCGACACTTTCACGAAAATTTAGAAAATAATTCTCGATCCTTCGAAACCAATTTTCAAACCAATCGAGCCGATTTATATGACAAATCTTTTTGCTTTTTGAAGAAAGCATTTTAAGAGGAGGAGGAGAGGAAAAAAAAAAAAAAAAAA